ACTAACTAACTAACTAACTAACTAACTAACTAACTAACTAACTAACTAACTAACTAACTAACTAACTAACTAACTAACTAACTAACTAACTAACTAACTAACTAACTAACTAACTAACTAACTAACTAACTAACTAACTAACTAACTAACTAACTAACTAACTAACTAACTAACTAACTAACTAACTACTAACTAACTAACTAACTAACTAACTAACTAACTAACTAACTAACTAACTAACTAACTAACTAACTAACTAACTAACTAACTAACTAACTAACTAACTAACTAACTAACTAACTACTAACTAACTAACTAACTAACTAACTAACTAACTAACTAACTAACTAACTAACTAACTAACTAACTAACTAACTAACTAACTAACTAACTAACTAACTAACTAACTAACTAACTAACTAACTAACTAACTAACTAACTAACTAACTAACTAACTACTAACTAACTAACTAACTAACTAACTAACTAACTAACTAACTAACTAACTAACTAACTAACTAACTAACTAACTAACTAACTACTAACTAACTAACTAACTAACTAACTAACTAACTAACTAACTAACTAACTAACTAACTAACTAACTAACTAACTAACTAACTAACTAACTAACTACTAACTAACTAACTAACTAACTAACTAACTAACTAACTAACTACTAACTAACTAACTAACTAACTAACTACTAACTAACTAACTAACTAACTAACTAACTAACTAACTAACTAACTAACTAACTAACTAACTAACTACTACTAACTAACTAACTAACTAACTAACTAACTAACTACTAACTAACTAACTAACTAACTACTAACTAACTAACTAACTAACTAACTAACTAACTACTAACTAACTAACTAACTAACTAACTAACTAACTAACTAACTAACTAACTAACTAACTAACTAACTAACTAACTAACTAACTACTAACTAACTAACTACTAACTAACTAACTAACTAACTAACTAACTACTAATAACTAACTAACTAACTACTAACTAACTAACTAACTAACTAACTAACTAACTAACTAACTAACTAACTAACTAACTAACTAACTAACTAACTAACTAACTAACTAACTAACTACTAACTAACTAACTAACTAACACTAACTAACTAACTACTACTAACTAACTAAACTAACTAACTAACTAACTAACTAACTAACCAACTTACTAACTAACTAACTACTAATTAACTAATTAACTAACTATTACTAACTAACTACCTAACTAACTAACTAACTAACTAACTAACTAACTAACTAACTAACTAACTAACTAATTAACTAATTAACTAACTAACGAACTAATTAACTAACTAAACTAACTAACTACATAACTAACTAACTAACTAACTAACTAACTAACTAACTAACTTTATCCACTTGGTTTTATGCATTTGTTTGATGTTGTATATCAACGATTCTTGCAGGGAGGACTTACATGAATTAGGATAATATTTAGGGTTGTCATATAGTCCCATCATTGTCGGAATTGGTTTTAAAAACTACCAAAAAAAAAATACGTTGGTTTCATGTCTAAGACTTATATTTTCGGTTTTTTGCTCGATTATGATTTGCTTTCTAGATCGAACATAAATCTGATAATATTATATTTTATTAAATCTTTTGATCATGTTTTTTGAAGCTTTCAAATCCAATTCCGACAATTATTGGATTCTATGACAACCCCCATTAACAATCTAGTCCTGTCCTGGCATCTGAGAGGATCCTCTAACGATTAGTTTTTTTTCAAACACTAACTGGCTATTCAGATACTCAGCACTGCTACCTATTGCCTTAACAAGTGTGGTGATAGAGAAAAGGGTATTAGAAAAAAGAAAATATTTCTGCTAGTGTATGCTATTCAGGAGTTAATTTTAAATATCATGGTTTTGTTTTTGACTAAATAATAAATTTATTTAATTAAATATGTATGTCCATTATATACCCATGGTAAATTACAATCATTATTTTTAGTATTTGGTTATTAATATTATCTATTATCTTAATTCTTATCAATAGAAGTAGTATATTAAAAATAAATAGCTTAAATTTATGCTCCACGATTTAAGACCTTGACACCAGGAGGTGCATGCAAACGTTTCAAAACTATGGGAAAGTTTTCACTAATAATATAGTCATCTTTGAAGACAATTACCAAATTCAATTCAAATTCTGAAAGAAAAGCAAAACATATTTAAATGGTCATAATCAGAATAAATTTTAAACAATTTTATACCAACCAATTTTAAAATTCTTTGTTATCAAAGTGGGACATGTAAAGAGCCTTGGTAAAATCATATAAATAGGTATTTCCAATTTTGGACAAATATTGCCATCAGCTATTTGTATAGTTTGTATTTCGGTAGCATCTTTGGAATAACCTTCATTACAACCACAGGTTTCAACACGCACCAATTGTAATTCAATCGATTTAATGGCAGCCTCCGTGTGTTGTATTGTCAGTTGACCCTTCAAAGGCTGTGTTATACAAAATTCTGTGCGTTCCAATTTGCCCGTAATTAAAAATCTAGGCATAGTTATACGTTCCTTGGTATTTTTCTGTAAGCTTTCGGGACTAATACTGAAATTGACCTCTTTCGAAGGTAATTTAACACTGTCCTCTGCTGGTGGTTTATATTGTATGCAAAACTGTTGGGTTTTTTGCAAAGACTTGGCCAAAAAACTACGCTTCACATCACATTTAAGTTGATAGTTGATGCTAATAAAAACGCCATGATAGGTTTCATATAATATACGTGGTTCTTTTTTACACTGTAAAGGAAATTCAAAATGGAATTCTGAGACACCGGAAGAGAGTTTACCAGGAGCCGATAACTCATAGACCGAATTGAAGAGAGTGATAGGTTTAACGGAATTATAGAAGGCATCTAGTAAGCCCACAGATTTGCTATTGCTTAATTGGAGATTTACCACACCCTCTAGCGTTAAAATGATACCATCATGTTTGGCCTCCGAGGGACAAGTGAATTGTACACAACCGGTTAAAAGTTCCTTAAATATAATATATTTTATTTGGTTTCTTAATTATGGATACATTTTTAATACTTACACCTTCATAATATATTTTATTTTCTCGTTTCAATTTAATTTCAAAGTTTATTGAAGCCATTTTACAGATAATTGCAAAAATATAAAATTTTCTAATAGGAAAACATTCACAAACTGTATTGTTGTTGAAAGAGGAAGAAAAATAATAAAAACAAACAACAGCTGTTAGTGCTGCCAAGTTTGAAAAGAAAATAACGTAAAATGTAATACCAAATTTATAATATTAAATGCAAATATTCGGCCGTACTTTACAAACAGAATACAACATATTACCAAAGAATATTTAGAAAGAATTTTTGGAAATTCGAATTTTTTGGGGGTTAAAAAAGGGTAAAAAGGTAAATTCGGTAACCTCAAATCTCCTAAACTAGAAAAGTTACAAAAACAGTTAAAGCTTATCGTCGTTCATTTAAAAAAAGCGGACAGGTGCCCGGTAATTTTTTCAAATACGGCCCCTTTGGGGAATAAACGGGTAAAAACTGTAATTTGGTACTTCTTTTGCACCCCATGTATCTTTTAAACCAGAGAACATTAAAAAAGTATTATTGAATCCTTCATAACTTGACGAACAAATAAAAATATGAATTTAGTACTTTTTGGATATTCGGACGTTTAAGGGGTGAAAATTGTAACTATTTTTGGTACTTTTTTATAAAACATTGTTTTTGTTTAACTTATACATATGAATACATAATAACGGGCTCCCAATACGATGTTGAACTTTTTGGAACAGAATTTTTATTTCGTTAATGGGGAGGAAAAAAGTACCAAAAGGGGTAAAAACGGGAAATTTGATTTTATTCAAGAAACACTAAATATGCTAATGGGGTGTTATTTGGAACACCGGTACCAAGTGATATTTTTTGGTACTTTTTCATTCTCCAACTGGTACTTTTTGAGTTTTCTATGATATTGAAATCGAAACATAAAATTAATAATTAAGGGACTTTTCGGAACTTTTTCGTTCTTTGACTGGTACTTTTTGAGTTTTCTATAAAATTTAACCTAGAAACATGAAATTAAGCAAGTAGAGTCCGGAGTAAATGAGAATCTATAAAATGGGACTTATTGGTACTTTATCGTATTTCGACGGGTACTTTTTTGACTTAGAACTTAGAAACATATAATTAAGCACTTGAGAATCTATAAAAGTGGACTTTTTGGTACTTTTTCGTTCTTCAAAAGGAACTTTTTGAATTTTCTATAATATTAAACCTAGAAACATGAAAGCGTGTAGAACCCCGATTAAGTGAGAACCTGTAAAAGGTTACTTTTTGGTTCTTCAAAAGTTACATTTTAAGTTTTTGTATAATAATGAACCTAGAAACGTGAAATTAAGCACGTAGAGCCAGGAGTAAATGAGAATCTATAAAATGGCACTTTTTGGTACTTTTTCGTTCTTTGACTGGTACTTTTTGAGTTTTCTATTAAATTGAACATATAAACATGAAATTATGCACGTAGAGCCCGGAGTAAATGAGAATCTATACAATGGCACTTTTTGGTACTTTTTCGTTCTTTGACTGGTACTTTTTGAGCTTGCTACAAAATTTGAAACTCGAAACATGAAATTAAGCACTTAGAGCCTGGAGTAAATGAGACTCTATAAAAGGGGAACTTTATCGTACTTCGACTGGTACTTTTTGAGTTTTTAAGAATTTGTTATTCATCCCTGCATAATTTCTCACACAACTTTTGAACTTGCTCTGTTTTGTTGTTATAAACAATATATTTGCTTCCAAAATCCCACTTTCTGATCTCTCGGATTCCGTTTTTATTTAAAATCGTTGAAAATTTAAAAACTTAACGTAGTTGAAAACTTAGCCGGCTTACAGTCGATTTTAAGCCGCCGCCGACATATTTAGTGTCAGTCGCCGCCGCCGTTAGTGTTTGTCGTTGCAGGGCTCTGTTATTCATTCCAACAAAAAGAACTGGACGGGGAAATTGTTAAAATATTTTACTTTAGTTTTAATTAAACTAATAATATTAAGAAAAAATAAAATGATTAAACAAATAGAAAAATAATTGAAATTAAAAGAAGAAAAAATAAGCTAATATTGTGAATTGTATAAAAAAACGAAAATTTACACAAAAAGAAGTTTCAAGAAAGATAACTTTGTTTTTCTTTTTTTGGGTGTTACAAATTTGGTGGAGTCACGTCAGTACACGTATTTGTTGTTTGCAAGTGAATGTGTATGTTTGTGTTTTTTAACAACAACAAACAAATAAAGAAAAGGCATAAGTAAAAAAAGAAAACAAAAGAATAATTTTTTACAATAACAAAAAGAGTTGAGTGAAATTTTTTTGTTTGTCTGCCAGAAATACAAGTTAAAACGAAAAAGAAAATAAAAATATTAAAAGAAAATTATCTGCATTATTAAAAAGTAGGATTTGGATTAAATTACAACAGTTATAATTTGGAAATAACTCAAGTGTTAAGTAAGTTATTATGATAAACTAATTGTTAGCAACTACTATCTATTTAAGTTGTATAATTAAAATTTTGAAATATTAGTATATGAATAGTTGTTGTAATTGTTTAATGATTTTTATCAAAACATTGACGCAATATCTTTGCTTTTGTTCATATTCTATTATTTTCCTTATAAAGAAGCCTAGTTCCGTTCAGGGCCGGTGTGTGTGTGTTTTTGCAAGTGTTTTCTGTGGAGGCATTACGACGTCATTAGACCCCCTCTTCATTGAGGTTTTCAATGTTTCTTTTATTTTGTTCCTTATTTAATTTTTTATTGCTATTATTGTCTTTTTATTTAATTTGTTGTTATTGCTAACTACAGTTAACAATTTTAGTTTGAAAAACTATTCCATATGCTTGTGTGCCATTAATATCTCCCAAACCCCCCTTTTCGTTTGTCATTGTCTTATCTAAGTGTCACTCATTGAACTTTACGCTTTAGCCGGCCCGGCCTTTGTGTTTTCGTCGGCATTTCTATTTTGTTTTTAATTTTTAATGCTACTTATGCTTTCTTTTGTTTCTTCTTTCTTACCGTCTGTGTGTTTATCTTTTTATTTTGCATTTTTTATCGTTAGATTTTTTCTTGTTTGCATTCCACTATAGTTGGGTGGGTATATTGGATTTTGTGCGAATGTTTGAAACATTCTATAGGGTTACGACTATGATATATATGTATGTCTGGTAGTCTGATCTCCCTATCCCTTACGGCGATTCGATAAGTCAAGACTGTATTATGTTATAAAGTTGTAGCTGGAATTTGTTAATAAAATTTTACTAAATATATCCCACGATTCATGAATTTATTATCCAGAAAATGGATAGTGGATCTAAACCTATTTGCTATATCAGCCGCAAATGCAAACACAAACTGCACCATTCCAAACGTCATTCAAAAAATAATATCTATTTCAGGTCTCGCTCAGTTCTAGTTCGATTCTAGTTCAGTTCTAGTTCAGTTCTTGCTCAGTTCTAGTTCAGTTCTAGTTCAGTTCTAGTTCAGTTCTAGTTCAGTTCTAGTTCAGTTCTAGTTCAGTTCTAGTTCAGTTCTAGTTCAGTTCTAGTTCAGTTCTAGTTCAGTTCTAGTTCAGTTCTAGTTCAGTTCTAGTTCAGTTCTAGTTCAGTTCTAGTTCAGTTCTAGTTCAGTTCTAGTTCAGTTCTTGTTCAGTTCTAGTTCAGTTCTAGTTCAGTTCTAGTTCAGTTCTAGTTCAGTTCTAGTTCAGTTCTAGTTCAGTTCTAGTTCAGTTCTAGTTCAGTTCTAGTTCAGTTCTAGTTCAGTTCTAGTTCAGTTCTAGTTCAGTTCTAGTTCAGTTCTAGTTCAGTTCTAGTTCAGTTCTAGTTCAGTTCTAGTTCAGTTCTAGTTCAGTTCTAGTTCAGTTCTAGTTCAGTTCTAGTTCAGTTCTAGTTCAGTTCTAGTTCAGTTCTAGTTCAGTTCTAGTTCAGTTCTAGTTCAGTTCTAGTTCAGTTCTAGTTCAGTTCTAGTTCAGTTCTAGTTCAGTTCTTGTTCAGTTCTAGTTCAGTTCTAGTTCAGTTCTAGTTCAGTTCTAGTTCAGTTCTAGTTCAGTTCTAGTTCAGTTCTAGTTCAGTTCTAGTTCAGTTCTAGTTCAGTTCTAGTTCAGTTCTAGTTCAGTTCTAGTTCAGTTCTAGTTCAGTTCTAGTTCAGTTCTAGTTCAGTTCTAGTTCAGTTCTAGTTCAGTTCTAGTTCCGTTCTAGTTCAGTTCTAGTTCAGTTCTAGTTCAGTTCTAGTTCAGTTCTAGTTCAGTTCTCGTTCAGTTCTAGTTCAGTTCTAGTTCAGTTCTAGTTCAGTTCTAATTCAGTTCTAGTTCAGTTCTAGTTCAGTTCTATTTCAGTTCTAGTTCAGTTCTAGTTCAATTCTAGTTCAGTTCTAGATCAGTTCTAGTTCAGTCCTACTTCAGTCCTACTTCAGTTCTAGTTCAGTTCTAGTTCAGTTCAGTTCTAGTTCAGTTCTAGTTCTAGTTCAGTTCTAGTTCAGTTCTAGTTCAGTTCTAGTTCAGTTCTAGTTCAGTTCTAGTTCAGTTCTAGTTCAGTTCTAGTTCAGTTCTAGTTCAGTTCTAGTTCAGTTCAGTTCTAGTTCAGTTCTAGTTCAGTTCTAGTTCAGTTCTAGTTCAGTTCTAGTTCAGTTCTAGTTCAGTTCTAGTTCAGTTCTAGTTCAGTTCTAGTTCAGTTCTAGTTCAGTTCTAGTTCAGTTCTAGTTCAGTTCTAGTTCAGTTCTAGTTCAGTTCTAGTTCAGTTCTAGTTCAGTTCTAGTTCAGTTCTAGTTCAGTTCTAGTTCAGTTCTAGTTCAGTTCTAGTTCAGTTCTAGTTCAGTTCTAGTTCAGTTCTAGTTCAGTTCTAGTTCAGTTCTAGTTCAGTTCTAGTTCAGTTCTAGTTCAGTTCTAGTTCAGTTCTAGTTCAGTTCTAGATCAGTTCTAGTTCTAGTTCAGTTCTAGTTCAGTTCTAGTTCAGATCTAGTTCAGTTCTAGTTCAGTTCTAGTTCAGTTCTAGTTCAGTTCTAGTTCTAGTTCTAGTCATCTAGTTCAGTTCTAGTTCAGTTCTAGTTCAGTTCCAGTTCAGTTGTAGTTCAAGTTCTGTTCTATTTCAGTTCTAGTTCAATACCAGTTCAGTTCTAGTTCGGTTTTAGTTGAGTTCTTGTTTAGATTTAGTTCAGTTCATACAATATTTCTTAAGGGTTTGGTTATCATTAGGTCGGCCATAACTTACTATACTCTCTTTCTTACGTATTATTTATTTTACTTTTTTATCATTATTTTGTAGTTATTACTGTTTCTGTTTTCTTCTTGTTGATTACAATAATCTAACGAGTTTGAGTGACTACTTTATGTCATGTGTAGTGAACACTTGTTTATTTTATCTATGCTTAATGAGGCTTTAATGCTAGTGGGTTGTTTTGATCGGTTGGTTGGCTGGCGATAAAAAGCCGAGAAAAATATTCATTGTTTTCCGTTTTCTTTTAAAAACTATACATACATATGTATGCCCTGGAAAGAAAAAATCAAAAAAAGTCATACTTTAATGTTTGCTTTCTATTAACTGTGACCGCCAATTAAATATGTAAGCAATTAGTAATTCTAATAGCTTGGCCTTTGTTTATTGATACATAAGCGTAGGAGATGGAAAGAACTTGGATAATTTAATGAAATAGAATAGTAAAAAGTGTAAAAATTGTTTGTATACACTTAAAAGTTTTATATTTTTGTCTAAAAAATCACTTAAAACATCTCAATATTAAACTTTTGTCCAATTCAGTATTTAAATTACTTTTGTTTTGTATGAAATCTTTAAGTAACTAGTTTTAACTAAAGCTTGGCTTCAATAATTTCTGTGTCATTGTACTCTTTGTGGTACAACTCTGCTGAAATTTTAAACAAAAAAAAAAAAAAAAAAAAGAAAGAAACTAAAATAAAATGAATGGTAACCATAAAATATTGCATGTGGGTGCGTTTTTTGAGCTCTAAATAACATCTCGTGTTTGTAACCATATTTGTCAAAAATGTTAAGTTTTTATACATATTAAGTTTATATTTTTTCGAGTTTCTTTAAGAAGAAAGAGGCAATCAAACTGGATTTGAGTTGCAAAACAATAATGAATGATGAAGGTATTTTTTGTCTTTGATTTTTACCTTATATTGCAATAATAACATGTACTTCAAAATCAGTATTAGGTTGATATGAAACAGTTCAACTATGCTATATCATCTCTTAAGCTTGGAGAAATGTATATAAAAAATTATAATTTCATTAGGGTAGTTTTTCTCCTAGATCAGTTCTACTAGTTCAGTTCTAGTTCAGTTCTAGTTTAGTTCTAGTTCAGTTCTAGTTCAGTTCTAGTTCAGTCTAGTTCAGTCTAGTTCAGTTCTAGTTCAGTTCTAGTTCAGTTCTAGTTCAGTTCTAGTTCAGTTCTAGTTCAGTTCTAGTTCAGTTCTAGTTCAGTTCTAGTCAGTTCTAGTTCAGTTCTAGTTCAGTTCTAGTTCAGTTCTAGTTTCAGTTCTAGTTCAGTTCTAGTTCAGTTCTAGTTCAGTGCTAGTTCAGTTCTAGTTTCAGTTCTAGTCAGTTCTAGTTCAGTTCTAGTTCAGTTCTAGTTCAGTTTCTAGTTCAGTTCTAGTTCAGTTCTAGTTCAGTTCTAGTTCAGTTCTAGTTTCAGTTCCTAGTTCAGTCTAGTTCAGTTCTAGTTTCAGTTCTAGTTCAGTTCTAGTTCAGTTCTAGTTCAGTTCTAGGTCAGTTCTAGTTCAGTTCTAGTTTCAGTTCTAGTTCAGTTCTAGTTCAGTTCTCGTTCAGTTCTAGTTCAGTTCTAGTTCAGTTCTAGTTCAGTTCTAGTTCAGTTCTAGTTCAGTTCTAGTTCAGTTCTAGTTCAGTTCTAGTTCAGTTCTAGTTCAGTTCTAGTTCAGTTCTAGTTCAGTTCTAGTTCAGTTCTAGTTCAGTTCTAGTTCAGTTCTAGTTCAGTTCTAGTTCAGTTCTAGTTCAGTTCTAGTTCAGTTCTAGTTCAGTTCTAGTTCAGTTCTAGTTCAGTTTTAGTTCAGTTTAGTTTCAGTTCTAGTTCAGTTCTAGTTCAGTTCTAGTTCAGTTCTAGTTCAGTTCTAGTTCAGTTCTAGTTCAGTTCTAGTTCAGTTCTAGTTCAGTTCTAGTTCAGTTCTAGTTCAGTTCTAGTTCAGTTCTAGTTCAGTTCTAGTTCAGTTCTAGTTCAGTTCTAGTCAGTTCTAGTTCAGTTCTAGTTCAGTTTCTAGTTTCAGTTCTAGTTCAGTTCTAGTTCAGTTCTTCAGTTCTAGTTCAGTTCTTAGTTCTAGTCAGTTCTAGTTTCTAGGTTCTAGTTCATTCAGTTCTAGTTCAGTTCTAGTTTCTAGTCTTCCTAGTTCAGTCTCTAGTTTCAGTTCTAGTCAGTTATAGTTCAGTTTCTAGTTCCAGTTCTAATTTCAGTTCAGTTCTAGTTCAGTTCTAGTTCAGTTCTAGTTCAGTTCTAGTTCAGTTCTAGTTCAGTTCTAGTTCAGTTCTAGTTCAGTTCTAGTTCAGTTCTAGTTCAGTTCTAGTTCAGTTCTAGATCAGTTCTAGTTCAGTTCTAGTTCAGTTCTAGTTCAGTTCTAGTTCAGTTCTAGTTCAGTTCTAGTTCAGTTCTAGTTCAGTTCTAGTTCAGTTCTAGTTCAGTTCTAGTTCTAGTTCTAGTTCAGTTCTAGTTCTAGTTCAGTTCTAATTCAGTTCTAGTTCAGTTCTAGTTCAGTTCTAGTTCAGTTCTAGTTCAGTTCTAGTTCAGTTCTAGTTCAGTTCTAGTTCAGTTCTAGTTCAGTTCTAGTTCAGTTCTAGTTCAGTTCTAGTTCAGTTCTAGTTCAGTTCTAGTTCAGTTCTAGTTCAGTTCTAGTCAGTTCTAGTTCAGTTCTAGTTCAGTTCTAGTTCAGTTCTAGTTCAGTTCTAGTTCAGTTCTAGTTCAGTTCTAGTTCAGTTCTAGTTCAGTTCTAGTTCAGTTCTAGTTCAGTTCTAGTTCAGTTCTAGTTCAGTTCAAGTTCAGTTCAAGTTCAGTTCTAGTTCTTCAGTTCTAGTTCAGTTCTAGTTCAGTTCTAGTTCAGTTCTAGTTCAGTTCTAGTTCAGTTCTAGTTCAGTTCTAGTTCAGTTCTAGTTCAGTTCTAGTTCAGTTCTAGTTCAGTTCTAGTTCAGTTCTAGTTCAGTTCTAGTTCAGTTCTAGTTCAGTTCTAGTTCAGTTCTAGTTAGTTCTAGTTCAGTTCTAGTTCAGTTCTAGTTCAGTTCTAGTTCAGTTCTAGTTCAGTTCTAGTTCAGTTCTAGTTCAGTTCTAGTTCAGTTCTAGTTCAGTTCTAGTTCAGTTCTAGTTCAGTTCTAGTTCAGTTCTAGTTCAGTTCTAGTTCAGTTCTAGTTCAGTTCTAGTTCAGTTCTAGTTCAGTTCTAGTTCAGTTCTAGTTCAGTTCTAGTTCAGTTCTAGTTCAGTTCTAGTTCAGTTCTAGTTCAGTTCTAGTTCAGTTCTAGTTCAGTTCTAGTTCAGTTCTAGTTCAGTTCTAGTTCAGTTCTAGTTCAGTTCTAGTTCAGTTCTAGTTCAGTTCTAGTTCAGTTCTAGTTTAGTTCTACTTCAGTTCTAGTCGACAAATATGTTCTGCTAAAATTTTAAGAATTAACTGAATAAAGAATTTCTTTTTGTCTACAATTTCATTTGTGTAATCAATGCATTTTTAAACACAATAAACACAAACAATAACAATTTCATTATCATTTAACACAAAGAAACAAAGATAAAAATTTCATTTTATTATCGATATTATATCAAACAACAACACACAATAGCCCACAGAAAAGTTGATTAAGGTACCTCTATAAATCGCACTGCAGATAAAGGCTAAGAAAGGGAATAGAAAAATGAAAAAGTTTAATTAAAAATAAGCATTTGTAAAACAAACTAAACAACAATAAGTAGTAACTAATTCTAGTTTTCTCAATTAAATTTTTTTTTATATTTTTCTCTTTCTTTTCTCATAGAAACTTAGTTTTGCCACCATTGGGACCTTAATATTGCTGGTTAGCTTTAACAAAACATGTCTAATCAAGCCGAAATTGATTATGAAAAACAATTTCAAGAAGATTTGGCTAAAGCAACCGCCTTAAGTTTAGAGCAACAGGCCCTAGAAGAATTTAAGCGTTGCCAAAAATATGGCACAGCCTATACGCAATCTGTGCAACAGGAGGCCAAAAATCGAAACTATGCTCAAATTAGACGCCAGCATTTTGCACGTAGAGATTCGGCCGAAACCTCAGTTTCCTCACAATATGGTGTAACATTACCACCGCCACAATCGAGTCAGCCACAAAGACGTCATTCGGAAATAACACATAATGTACCACCAACTACCCTGCTAACGGATGTAGAACGTTCGAAAACTCCTCCCGCTTCTGCGGCTACAGCAGAAAATGATTTAATCAATTTTGCTAGTCCTACTGCTAAGAAACCGGAGAATTCTTCGTTTGAACAATTGATAGAGGATTTACAAAAGCTACAAGCCACAAATCCACAAACAGCCTTAGTGCCTTTGGGTCCTACTGCAGCAGCTCCCCTATATCCGGGTTATCATGCGCCAGCAACCTCTACACCAGCCGCAGCTTTGTATGCCGGAAGTGCTGCTGCTATACAGCCACCGGCTCAGTATGGTGTGACAACAGCAGCTGGAGCTGCAGGCATGCAGTTAGTTCCATTTACACCGCCGCCGCAGCAACAAAAAGTGCCACTCACCCATAATGAACTGCAAAAACTGTACAGTATGTCACAACCACCTTATACGGCTCCTGTTTATGCTGGCGCCCGTCCAATGGGTTTTATGCCTCCGCTACAAGCGGCCGCCGGCCCCTACTATCCTCAAACACCTCCCGTTATGTTAGCAGGAGCAGCAGGTGTGCCTTATACAGCCCCTGTTCAATATCCAAATCCCTATGGTTTCCAATACAATGTGCTACCACAGGCCACTCAACAACATTATTATCCCACTAATATGGCCTCTGCCGCCTCTTTAAACTCCTCCTCAGTTTCCACTTCCTCCTTGGCATCTGGTGTTCACAACCTAAACAATCATTCTAATCAATCGCTTAATGCATCTGATTTACCCTCAAGCAGCAATAGTTTTAATCATACACATTCCAAACTCTCCAACATATCTTCCACTTCTTCATCGCAAAGTAACGGCCAAAATGTGTTTCGACGTCAAACGCCTCCAGCTCGTAAACCCAAAGCTACTGGTTCGGATTTAATTGATTTATCGCATGAGGATGAGTAAGTCAAGTAACAATAATAATAAAAATGTAATTATCTATATAATTTTCTTTTCATTTTAGTTCCCGTGTTAGTGTTTTAGAAGCCTTCGATCCTTTACTTAATGAAGATAATGATGGTAAGTTTGAATTCTTTTTTTTTCTCAATTTTATTTTGCAGTTTCTTTTTTGTTTCTATTTTTTTTTTTTTGTATTTAAATCTTTGTTTGCTTAATTATCGTTTAGATTTATTAGTTTTTCTGCATTATGTGTTTGTATTTTTCATGTTTATTGCCATATTTAAACGAAATCATTAAGCGTTTTCAAATCTCATTGCTTTTTATAATGCGTGTCATTTTTTCAAACATATTTACATACTTAGAGTTTGCTATATCTTTTAGTTGCAGTAAATTATAATCTGTGATATAAAAAGTTTCGAATCTGTTCAGTTCTAATTCAATTCTAGTTCAGTTCTAGTTCAATTCTAGTTCATTCTAGTTCAGTTCTAGTTTAGTTCTAATTCAGTTCTTGTTCAGTTTCTAGTTCAGTTCTAGATCAGTTCTACTTCAGTTTCTAGTTCAATTCTAGTTCAGTTCTAGTTCAGTTCTAGTTCAGTTCTAGTTCAGTTCTAGTTCAGTTCTAGTTCAGTTCTAGTTCAGTTCTAGTCAGATCTAGTTCAGTTCAGTTAGTTCTAGTTCAGTTCTAGTTCAGTTCTAGTCAGTTCAGTTCTAGTTCAGTTTCTAGTTCCGTCTAGTTCAGTTCTAGTAGTTCAGTTCTAGTTCAGTTCTAGTTTCAGTTGCTAGTTCAGTTCTAGTTCAGTTCTAGTTTCAGTTCTAGTTCAGTTCTAGTTCAGTTCTAGTCAGTTTCTAGTCCACGTCTAGAGTTCAGTTCTAGTCAGTTCTAGTTCAGTTCTAGTTCCGTTCTAGTTCAGTTTCTAGTTCAGTTCTAGTTTCAGTTCTAGGTTCAGTTCTAGTTCAGTTCTAGTTCAGTTTCTATTCAGTTCTAGTTCAGTTCTAGATTCAGTTCTAGTTTCAGTTCTAGTTCAGTTCTAGTTCAGTTCTAGTCAGTTTCTAGTGTCAGTTCTAGTTCAAGTCTTAGTTCAGTTCTAGTTCAGTTTCCTAGTTCAGTTCTAGTTTCAGTTCTGTTCATTCTAGTTTCCAGTTCTAGTTCATTCTAGTTCAGCTTTTCAGTTCAGTTCTAGCTCAGTTGTAGTTCAGTTCTAGTTCAGTTCTAGTTCAGTTCTAGTTCAGTTCGTTCAGTTCTAGTTCAGTTCTAGTTCAGTTCTAGTTCAGTTCTAGTTCAGTTCTAGTTCAGTTCTAGTTCAGTTCTAGTTCAGTTCTAGTTCAGTTCTAGTTCAGTTCTAGTTCAGTTCTAGTTCAGTTCTAGTTCAGTTCTAGTTCAGTTCTAGTTCAGTTCTAGTTCAGTTCTAGTTCAGTTCTAGTTCAGTTCTAGTTCAGTTCTAGTTCAGTTCTAGTTCAGTTCTAGTTCCCTTCTAGTTCAGTTCTAGTTCAGTTCTAGTCCAGTTCTAGTTCAGTTCTAGTTCAGTTCTAGTTCATTTCTAGTTCAGTTCTAGTTCAGTTCTAGTTCAGTTCAGTTCAGTTCAGTTCTAGTTCAGTTCTAGTTCAGTTCTAGTTCAGTTCTAGTTCAGTTTCTAGTTCAGTTCTTTCAGTTCTAGTTCAGTTCTAGTTCAGTTCTAGTTCAGTTCTAGTTCAGTTCTAGTTCAGTTCTAGTTCAGTTCTAGTTCAGTTCTAGTTCAGTTCTAGTTCAGTTTGTTCAGTTCTAGTTCAGTTCTAGTTCAGTTCTGTTCAGTTCTAGTTCAGTTCTAGTTCAGTTCTAGTTCAGTTCTAGTTCAGTTCTAGTTCAGTTCTAGTTCAGTTCTAGTTCAGTTCTAGTTCAGTTCTAGTTCAGTTCTAGTTAAGTTCTAGTCAGTTCTAGTTCAGTTCTAGTTCAGTTCTAGTTCAGTTCTAGTTCAGTTCTAGTTCAGTTCTAGTTCAGTTCTAGTTCAGTTCTAGTTCAGTTTCTAGTTCAGTTCTAGTTCAGTTCTAGTTCAGTTCTAGTTCAGTTCTAGTTCAGTTCTAGTTCAGTTCTAGTTCAGTTCTAGTTCAGTTCTAGTTCAGTTCTAGTTCAGTTCTAGTTCAGTTTTAGTTCAGTTCTAGTTCAGTTCTAGTTCAGTTCTAGTTCAGTTCTAGTTCAGTTCTAGTTCAGTTCTAGTTCAGTTCTAGTTCAGTTCTAGTTCAGTTCTAGTTCAGTTCTAGTACAGTTCTAGTTCAGTTCTAGTTAAGTTCTAGTTAAGTTCTAGTTCAGTTCTAGTTCAGTTCTAGTTCTGTTCTAGTTCAGTTCTAGTTCAGTTCTAGTTCAGTTCTAGTTCAGTTCTAGTTCAGTTCTAGTTCAGTTCTAGTTCAGTTCTAGTTCAGTTCTAGTTCAGTTCTAGTTCAGTTCTAGTTCAGTTCTAGTTCAGTTCTAGTTCAGTTCTAGTTCAGTTCTAGTTCAGTTCTAGTTCAGTTCTAGTTCAGTTCCAGTTCTAGTTCAGTTCTAGTTCAGTTCTAGTTCAGTTCTAGTTCAGTTCTAGTTCAGTTCTAGTTCAGTTCTAGTTCAGTTCTAGTTCAGTTCTAGTACAGTTCTAGTTCAGTTCTAGTTAAGTTCTAGTTAAGTTCTAGTTCAGTTCTAGTTCAGTTCTAGTTCAGTTCTAGTTCAGTTCTAGTTCAGTTCTAGTTCAGTTCTAGTTCAGTTCTAGTTCAGTTCTAGTCCGTTCTAGTTCAGTTCTAGTTCAGTTCTAGTTCAGTTCTGTTCAGTTCTAGTTCAGGTTCTAGTTCAGTTCTAGTTCAAGTTCTAGTTCAGTTCTAGTTCAGTTCTAGTTCAGTTCTAGTTCAGTTCTAGTACAGTTTCTAGTTCAGTTCTAGTTAAGTTCTAGTTAAGTTTAGTTCAGTTCTAGTTCAGTTCTAGTTCTGTTCTAGTTCAGTTCTTAGTTCAGTTATAGTTCAGTTCTAGTTTCAGTTCTAGTTCAGTTTCTAGTTCAGTTCTAGTTCAGTTCTAGTTCAATTCTAGTTCAGTTCTAGTCAGTTCTAGTTCAGTTCTAGTTCAGTTCTAGTTCAGTTCTTAGTTCAGTTCTAGTTCAGTTCTAGTTCAGTTCTAGTTCAGTTCTAGTTCAGTTCTAGTTCAGTTCTAGTTCAGTTCTAGTTCAGTTTCTAGTCAGTTCTAGTTCAGTTCTAGTCAGTTCTAGTTCAGTTATAGTTCAGTTCTAGTCACGTTCTAGTTCAGTTCTAGTTCAGTTCTAGTTTCAGTTCTAGTTCAGTTCTAGTTCAGTCTCTAGTTCAGTTCTAGTTCAGTTCTAGTTCAGTTCTAGTTCAGTTCTAGTTCAGTTCTAGTTCAGTTCTAGTTCAGTTCTAGTTCAGTTCTAGTTCAGTTCTAGTTCAGTTCTAGTTCAGTTCTAGTTCAGTTCTAGTTCAGTTCTAGTTCAGTTCTAGTTCAGTTCTAGTTCAGTTCTAGTTCAGTTCTAGTTCAGTTCTAGTTCAGTTCTAGTTCAGTTCTAGTTCAGTTCTAGTTCAGTTCTAGTTCAGTTCTAGTTCAGTTCTAGTTCAGTTCTAGTTCAGTTCTAGTTCAGTTCTAGTTCAATTCTAGTTCAGTTTTAGTTCAGTTCTAGTTCAGTTCTAGTTCAGTTCTAGTTCAGTTCTAGTTCAGTTCTAGTTCAGTTCTAGTTCAGTTCTAGTTCAGTTCTAGTTCAGTTCTAGTTCAGATCTAGTTCAGTTCTAGTTCAGTTCAAGAAAATCCTCGCCCGGAATATCCCCTAATGTGGTACTGTTATTCCAATTTATTCCACTTCTTCCTCATCGTAAAAACTTCTGGAGTAGTCATTATAGGTGTTTTAAATGACTTGTTTCTGGGATACCCAAACTTATAGTGTCCTGTAATGATAGCGAGCATGTTGCTTAGTTTGGAACAAGTTAGTTTAAGAAGATATGCTGTTCGTTGTTTAACCAATTTAGGAGGAAAGGAATAAAGTTATTCATAGTTATAATACAAGAGTGCATAACATTTTTCAGTTATGCAATTTAAAGTTTTTTTTTTTTTTTTTTTTGTACAAGTTAAAAAAAAGAATATATACAAGATATGACCTTTATTATTAACTATGCTACTGACCTTTTCACATTGTGAATGAAGCCATACAATTAAATGCGTTTTAAGTAATTGCTTGTTTCAATCAATAACATAATTACGATGCCAGCAAACTGTAGGCATTTGTGTTCAAAATTATCTAAACCAAACAACGTTGGTATGAAACTTTTTTCATTCATTTTACTTTAATTAAATTTTGAAATTTTTTTATTGAAGTTTGTTTATATATATGAAACATTTTCTAATAAGTTAGTTTGTAATTTTTGTGGAATAATTGTGCAATCCTCTAATGTATACAATATATTCTGAATCTTTAATAGCGAAATCGAGTTAGCAATGGCGACTGTCTGTCTGTCCTCCGCTAGCGAGCGAGCGATCTATCGACTATCTAGCGAGCGAGCGAGCGAAGCGATCAGCGAGCGGAGAGCGAGCGAGCGAGCAGCGAGCGAGCGAGCGAGCGAGCGAGCGAGCGAGCGAGAGAGCGAGCGAGCGAGCGAGCGAGCGAGAGAGCGAGCGAGAGCGAGCGAGCGAGCGAGCGAGCGAGCGAGCGAGCGAGCGAGCGAGAGAGCGAGGAGAGCGAGCGAGCGAGCGAGCGAGCGAGCGAGCAGCAGCGAGCGAGGAGCGAGCGAGCGAGCGAGCGAGCGAGCGAGGAGCGAGCGAGCGAGCGAGCGAGCGAGCGAGCGAGCGAGCGAGCGAGCGAGCGAGCGAGCGAGCGAGCGAGCGAGCGAGCGAGCGAGCGAGCGAGCGAGCGACGAGCGAGCGAGCGACGAGCGAGCGAGCGAGCGAGCGAGCGAGCGAGCGAGCGAGCGAGCGAGCGAGCGAGCGAGCGAGCGAGCGAGCGAGAGCGAGCGAGCGAGAGCGAGCGAGCGAGCGAGCGAGCGAGCGAGCGAGCGAGCAGCGAGCGAGCGAGCGAGCGAGCAGCGAGCGAGCGAGCGAGCGAGCGAGCGAGCGAGCGAGCGAGCGAGCGAGCGAGCGAGCGAGCGAGCGAGCGAGCGAGCGAGAGAGCGAGCGAGCGAGCGAGCGAGCG